ATTTTACTGTCAAATTTGTAGATGCATCCGTAAGTTCTTTACAAACGGTTTCTTTTCTCGCTTCCGCAACTCTCTTCCGGTTTCTTACTTTCCAACCAACTTTGATCTTCCATAATTTAAATGCGATCTTTATCTGCTTTCGTCTTGAATCCTCTTCTTTTTATTGCCCTCCTTCCTTAATGTTTTTTCTTTCTTCCTATTCTTTCACACTCAGTAGAACCTTGGTGTCTTCGTGAATTTATTGGCTTACTTGAAGTGAAATGTGCTTAATTCATTTCTTTTGTTAATCTTAATCTTTTTAAGTAAATGCCATTCCATGTGTTTAATATATGAATTGGTATTTGACGGGAGCGAACTTATATTATTAAATGTTTTACTTCCATAATTATCAATACTTAGAAACATGATTATAATTATAAATACTTTCATCGTAATTGTTCTGATGAACTTCCCTCTATGGTAAGTAGAGTTTATGAATTTAAGCGCAGTACTAGATTGGCGGCAAGGTCTCAGCATTTTACAGTTGAAATAGCTATATGCAGCCGTATGTTCTATGCTGACAGTTTCTTCTATCGCACTTCTCTCTTGTGGAACTCTCTTCCGAATTTTTGCATCTAATCAATTTTAATCTTCAAAAGTTTAATTGCAGTGCTAATCTTTATCTTTTGTCTTCTTAATTATTGTTCTTTTATTGTCTTCCCGCCTTAAACTTATATTTTCTTCATATTCTCTAACACCCAGTAACCCCTTGCGTCTTAGTTGCTTTATTACCTTGCTTTGGGTGTAATGATTAAAATCATGAATTATTGCACGAATGATTGAGAAACTTCTATATATGTTGTGACCAAGTAATTGATTAAAAATAACAAGACAAGAGGTTGCAGATAAATAGTGTATTGAACAGTAAATCCAATAGAAGAGTGTTATATGACAGGGGGGTGTATGTCGTTTGACCAGCATTCAGTCTATATCACCGTTATATTCAGTGACCCCCCACAAGGGCACATGTGGCATGAGGCCGAGTTTAACGTGGGTCATCCGATCCCCTAGGCTCAGCCAAAAAATCTCCGTAGAACCCGCATAAACTGGCTCGGGTCTGTCTAACTCCCCGGAAGAAACTCTGCCCTTCGTGCACAGCCTCGTCCGGGTACCTCTCTGCCAAAAACAGAGAGTTCGACAGGAGCTGCCTCAGTAGAACAGTCTATATCAACGTTAATATTTAACAGCCCACCCCAGGAGAGATGTATGTAGCACAAGACCGACTTTACCGTGGGTTTTCCGAGCGCGTAGGTTCGGCCAAAAATATTCTCTTTGAATCCGTATAAACGGGTTCAGGGCCTCTCTACCTCCCCGAAAGAAACTTTATCCTTTGGCAAAGCTTCGTCCGGGTCCCTCTCCGCCGAGGCGGAGAGTTTGACATCCGAACGGTCTAATATCACCGTTATATTTAACACCCACCTACGTGGGTCGTATGTGACACAAATCCGAGTTTAACGTGGGTTCTCCGAGCCCGTAGGCTCGACCAAAGATATTCCCTTAGAACCCGTATAAACGGGCCCAGGGCCTGTCTACCTCCCCGGACGTAACTTTGCCCTTCGGCAAAGCCTCGTCCGGGTTCCTCTCCGCCGAGGCGGAGAGTTCGACAGTCATGAACGGTCCTATATCACCGTTCCCCCGAGGCTTACTTTTCCTACTACTTCATGGTAAGTGGAAGAGTCCATAATAGACTCATTAGAATGAAGTCACTACAATAATATATGAGAAAAAAATTGGGTAATTGAATGACAAAATGTAAAAAAGTCTACGTGACATGTTTCGACCTCGAAAAGGACAGCATCAGACTAAAGTAATGCTCTTATTGATATAATCATATATATATGTGTGTGTGTGTGTGTGTGTGTGTGTGTGTGTGTGTGTGTGTGTGTGTGTGTGTGTGTCGAAGGAGGGGAAATATAAACCTAAACGCCGGTTATAATTATACAAACATGGGAAACGCTAACAATGTAGGGACGCTAAATTTTAAAATTTCTGGTGTGCGACGGGTCGAGACACACAGCCTAGCCGATTTCATTCAATATCTCAAAGCTTTTGCCTTTATTAAACTGTTTTGTTTTAATATCCCACATTGTAACAACAGAGGATTTCTTAAGAAAAGTGAAATGACGTAAGACCCTGAATGTAAATGTACCGTGGATGACTCAGAAATCAGTAAAGTTTCTATACATTTTCGCTTTTTAGAGGACAGAACGCAATAAATAGAATGTTTTCATTCAAATACCCAATCCTTCATAATAATGGCTTTGATTAAGAAATTAATGATTATAACTAATACTTCTTTGTGTCTCCTTTGACATCGATCCCTGTAAATTGAATATTTATGTGGATGGTTATGTGCCCAATTTAGTGGTGCACCTCCCAAAATATGAATGTCCAGAACCTGGCAGCTGCTCTCTCCTCTGACCAAACCCTGGTGCATTGAAGGTGGAAGGACTGGCTTGTAAAATTCAATAGTAAAAATCAAACTTGTAATACCCACCATCACAAGGCAGACACCGAACCTTCACCTATCATGATAGGTAGGAGCCTGAAGTCTGTCGTTAACAGCTAATCATCGGAAGCCAACGAGATCAACGCTGCGTTCTTAAAAACAGGGCACCACTTTTTTTTGTTCTCTATTAATGATCTGCCTAAAAGGTAAATATCTATGTGGAAGATACTACAATATATAACGATAAACCTCCCCAAATATGGATGTCCAGAACCTCGCAGCTGATCTCTACTCTGACCTAACTCCGGCGTCTTATTGGTGGAAGGACTGGCTTGTAAAATTCAATACAGCCAAAATCAAACGACTAAAGTTTCGCCATCATCGAGCAGACCCTGAATCTTAACCTATCATGATGAATAGGTGTTCTCAAAAAGAGGCTCCCTGCCTTGATTATGTGAAGGGAGTCAAACTCAACCCACACCTCAAGTTGAACTCTTATATACGATCCATTGTTAAAGATGCTGGGAAAATTGTTGGTTCTTTATACCACACCTGTAAGAATCTGATTACCTCTACTATACCTTTATGTTTATAAGAGCCATATCAGACCAAAAATACAATATTGCTTCTATATGCAGGCTGGAGCTGCCCAATCTTCATCTGCAGTTTTTGATAGAGCATCAAAGCGTCTACACGGCCTTGTGGGTGATGACTTATTTCCACCATCCAGCTCCTTTCCCATAGACGAATCATCGCAAGCCTCTCGCTAATTTATTGCTATTTCCATGGCAAGTGTTTAGACGAGCTACTTTCCTTGGATTCACCGGCGCTGACCTTTGCAACTGGGACCCGCCAGACCACATATATAAGAATGAATCATCCGCATTCCCTTCATATTCCATTAGGAATAATTAAGTTCCTCCCGTTCAGCTTCTTCCTAAGAACTGTTGCTTTGTGGAACAGACTACTGACATGATGTTTTCTCCATCACTACCATCTTGACCTCTTGAGGGCTAACCGTTATCACTCCTGCATAACCATATGTGAATTAACTTCTTGTCTTTTCTGACGAACATACAACGCAATGCAGTAACCCTCTACCTTGAGCGGCTCCTCAGCCTTGGATTGGGCGAACAATATTAAAAAAAAATGTGCATTTTTCTAATTTTTGACACAACTGCATTTTTTATTGATATTTTCGAGCAATTATAATTGTAGAATCGTTCTATACCGGTGGTTCTCAACCTTTTTCTATTCATGGCCCCTTTGATTGAATAATTTTTATATGCCCCCCCCCCTCTAGACGTTTAATTTAACGAAAGCTCATTTTACAATTTCCGGAAAAAATACTGATATTTCTCATAAAAACCTCAAAACTGCATGTATAAAAAAAAAAAAAAAAAAAATCAAGCCATTTAAACGATATAAACTTTTATTTCCGAAAAAAAAGTTATACAAATAAATGCACACATAAATTTTAAAAGCTCTTCAAAAATAAAGGGTGTTCCAATAACTTGGACCGATTTTAAATGTGAATTAAATTTAAGCCTTTAATGATTTTTTTTCTTTTTCTTTCAGATTTGGCGGATATTTGGGCGATATTATTTTTCACATATGATTTAAATAACGTGATCCAATAGAGAAATAAATTAATTTTCACCGTAACACTGATTTATTTACTGCTGATTTTGATCCGTCTTATTGAAACACCCTTTATAAAAATAAAGTTATGGTTTGGTTTCGTTTGGTTTGTTTTACGCCATATCAATCTCAATGGGTTATTTAATGCCGACAAGATTTTTATTGCTGCTAATAATGTATTACAGGTCATAATCTTTTCTTCAAAAATTCATTGCTGTTATTTTTTTAATGTATTGCTGGTATTAAAAGCTATTTTTACACTTTCACAGTGTTTTGACCCCAGTTTTTTGGGGTGGGGTGGGGGTGAGATAACTATTTGCCCATAGCTGGGACCCTAACAGGTGCCACCACTTCGGGTCAGGGTGGACCTGGGAACACCAGCAATTAAGAGGTGGTTCCTCGCTCCTCAAAACCTCTTGATCAGAGGCCTTGATGTTGGACGTAGTTTATCGTCTTACCCAGGACGTAATAAAGTTATGCAAAATAAAAAGTTCCACACTTAAATTTGACATATATGCACACTAGTAGCATAAAAGACACTTGTAAATTATTTGATAATACATAGTTAATGGATAAAGAAGAAAACGTCAACATTTATTTCATAATTAATCTGATCCTTACAACTCGGCATAATTAATAATAAAAACTAATTTGAAAAAAACGAGGGAAGTTCAACTTACACTGCGGAAAAAATGAAAAATAATATAAGTGGATATTGTGCGTTGTTAATATGGGTGGATCATTTAATAAGTAAATCTAAGTAATATTGTTAATAAAGCTCAATAATATATGTCAATTATATAATTTAAGTGTATTAAAACTAAAATATAGCGGACAACACGTTTTATCACTGTAGCACCTTTCATTGAACATGTGGTCACACCAAAATCCAAGGATATTCTATAGCCCCCATAAAATTTACCAGAGCCTACTTATGGCCATGTGGACCCCGGTTAGGAGACACTGTTTTATATCGTCTAGGATCGATTGCTCTGTTTCAGGAACGTTATAAATATTCGATTGGGTCACTTCAGCGTGGTGTATTGCTGAGAAAGCTTGTCTAGCTCAAATAATTAAGACTGAAAATGAATTCGATACTCACTGGGTGCCCTCAAACTTTCGACCTTGTTCCCAATCTGAACTACACCTAAAAAATTACCATAAATGCTCGATTAGGTGCAAATCAAGTGAGGGAGAAGCTCATTGCATTAATCTAACTTTATTTTTCTTATGGTTTCTCAAAATGTTACATGTTATTTTATTGAAAGATCTTAATCGCCTTCAGTGTCTAAGCTAATTAATAGAGGTTAAAGATTTTTCGAAAGAATACATTCATATTTTAGTTAATTTATTTATCACCTCAATCTTTTCCACCCTACATATGCTACATATGCTAGACGAAAATCATAAAATTATTTATCCACCACAATGACCCACTATCAGTCAGAATTTTCTGTTTTTTGGGGTTTTTTTTCTATTGCATTGTATACTTCGTGTTCATATTTTACTAAGTCTTACGTTGCAGGCATTGTCCTAATTTTATTTTCTTTTTTTGTTTAACTGAATAACTTTGTTCCAGCAAGTATTCTAATAATTTAAAAACGGTTTTACAGAATTCTAATCTTAATTAGCATGTATTTTATTCAGAAATGATCTTGTTCGTGCAGTCCGTCCGTGAATTGCCGATACATATTACTAGCGAATTTAGGTAGTAATGGCACAGATGCATAACAATCTCCATCTGATAGGAGTTGATCTTATAATCTGTTTTGTATACATGTATCCTTCAATGCTGTTGTAGAGTAGTTTTCACAGTGGAGGCTTGTATTTCGCTAAGTCGGTCCTAAAAGGGTCCGACATACAAAACGTTAGGAACTTGAAATAAGAGTTAATGACGCAGCAATCTAGTTGTGATGGTTGATACTTCAATGTCCGACATCGACT